AGTCTTGAGAATAGTGATGAATCATCTGTGATTATCTTTGTGATTGACACTTTAGCATGAGGAAGAATTTTGTTTTGAGAGAGAGCGTTTATAGAAAAAGGGTGGGGCTGAACTTGGGTGAAGATTTCAAATATCCAAGTTGTGAGAACCAAGGAATGCAAGTTCTAGAAGGAGATGGTAGAATGGTGATGGATTACAAGTTTTGGAGACACAGACTGGAGGTCAAGCCTATTCTGACATTCTTTGCTGTGCCCTTGAGTAAGTCTCCTAGCTGACCCCAGTCTTTTCCTAATGAGAAGAAGGGAAATGATAGATAGGTCTTACTTTGCAGATGTACTGTGACATATGAATGAGGGCCTATAAACACTGGGCTTCTTCTTTAAGAAATGTTTGGAGCAAATTGTAGATTGTATACTTGAACCCTGCTTTTATAATTCAGTGACTATTTCAGTTTTTACACTATCATGTTAAAATTTCTAGGAAGTAATGATAACATCCTATAGCATTCTCCATTTCATTTTTCCACTTTACAGACTAATTGGTCCAAGTCAATGGATTAGTTAGAAACTCTCTGATGCCAGGAGGCATTCCACTGAAATATCGAGGTTGTAGGAAGTGATTTCTCTTCTTGTGGAGATCTTATGGAGATAACCAGATTTTCATTTAGTTCATTGAAGGCAAATTCTGATGCTCACCCTGAGTACAGCTGGAAAGATTTTTGCTATGGCTCAGCAGAACCCATTAAGTTTTCAATCTCAGTTTACATCACTCTTATTTTCAGACAGTCCTAAAACAGTAGGTCACCAAATTCACCTATCACTCAAGTGGTAAGGATGACACAAGAATTGGAGAGCAGTTAAAACTGAAGGGATTTATTACTCTTAATCAATGATCAGTCCCATTAGAATGGGGAAAGAAGCCAGCCATTTAGATCAGGCATTTGCAAGGATTGCTGGCTTTGAACATAAGGGGGAAGTACTCTCATTTTCGAAGTTAAAGGCTGTGATTGAATCTCCCTTTTGGCAGAGAAGCCTAAGAATACTAGTTGAAGAAAAACTAGAGTGTAATAAAAATAAGAAGCCTTTTTTTTTCTAAAATTTGTTCTAGAGGGCATGAACTCTAGGGCTTTTTTTCCCTTTGTAGAGACCATAAAGTATATATACAAGTGAAAACTCTTAATTATAGTTTTTCAGAGTAAGTCTCTCAAAAGATTACAAATGAAAGTTCATGGTATAGCTTTTGTAAAGCCAGATAGTTTTTCTGGAACTGGTTGTTCTGTCTCAGAACATATATCTTTTTAGAAAATATATATTTTAGTAGTACTTGGACACAATACCTTTATTTTATTTATTTATTTTTATGTGGTGCTGAGAATGGAACATAGCAGCTTGCTCATGGTAAGCAAGTGCTCTACTGCTGAGCCACAACTCCAGCCCCAGAACATATATCTTTTTTTTTTAAATGAAATGACCTTGTTTATTTGGCAATAGATTTTGATATTTATTTTCTGTTAACTTGTTATGGTTAATTTAAATTTAACTTATGTTGAATATTATATAAAATACAAAATTTAGATTAAAACTACTGTTTTGGAATCTTGCTTAAAAATAAAATTGTAATTTCTCCTTTATATTTAGTGTTGAAACAGTAAAATTAGATGAAGGTTAATTTTAAAGCATCATAAACCTTCTAATTCTTTACTATTTACTTAAGAAAGTATACTAAACATAATCCAGAAAATTTATATGAAAGAAATTTTAAAAGTTATTTATAACCACATCAGCTATTATAATACAGGAATATTTATACCCACTCTATATTAAAAATGGTCTTTACTTGTAATCATTGATATATAATTTTATATGTGGTTCTTCCATTTAATATTATTCATGTTTCTAGGTGTTTTCACAATCATCTATTTTTAATACACCAGTTAATCAAGTGGATTAGCTGTTTTTTTTATTTTAGAAAGGCAAACTTATAATTCCTGATACACATTTCATTAGTTTTTGTTTAATGACTAGAAATCCTTATGTCTTCAGAAATTATTACATATTCTTTGAAACACACTACCTATATAGTGATTTATTATATATCTACATATATATCTCAACTAATATTCTTATTTGATGTAAATGACTCAAACTAGAGAACATATATCTTTTATCTGAGTGCCAAACTGGGTTGCTAGGTTAGTTGGCAGCTTTTTTTTTTAAGGGGTACATGAAGTATGTTTGGGACATTCTATCACTCTCTGTTCTACCAGCCTAGGTGGCAGAGTGCTTCTGAATATGACAGACACCAAATTCAGTAAATATGTTATATGTGTGTGTGTGTGTATGTATGTGTGTTATATTTTGTATTTTGCGGTAATGATTCCTGAGGTTGCCAGTAGCCAGTTACTTGATAGCACCATGCTGAACCAATGCCTGATTGGGGCTTTCTCCTGCTGTGATGAGAGAACACTTAATTGGATTTATAACTGAAGACAGAGATTGCTCTAACATAGCAAGATGGTGAAAAGAGCACCATCTGTAGTGCGATTCACAGCTCCCCACTTTGTGCATGTGGTGATTATTAGTAACTCCTAATCATGTAGAGGGCTTGCCTAACCTATAAATTGGGGATACTTCAAAACAGTTGTTTCTGTGTAAAATTGAAGCTTTCAGTGTTTTAGTGAGGCTCATCCATTGGTTATCTCAACTTCTATAATTTTCCTCATTCTCTTTATTAAAGTGATAGAAATACTGCCAACTGATTACTTTTATAACAATAACAAATAGCTTAATTGAGCTATGCCATGTAAAATTCACACTTTTAAAATGTGCAGTTTAATGACTTTTAGTATACTGTATTCAGAGTTGTTCAACTGTCACTACAATCAATTTTAGTACATTTTCATCACCTGGAAGAGACATTCTGTACCATTAGCAGTCATTCCTTGTTCCCTCCTCAGTGCCCGTACCCCTGGGTAACCAGCAATCTATTTTATCTACCTAGTCTGGATACTTTAATATAAATGGAATCATAAAATATGTGGCCTTTTGTGTCTAGTTTATTTCATTTAGCATAACATATTCAGGGTTCATCAGTGATGTAGCATGTATCAGAACTTTATTCCTTTTTAGTGCTAAATAATTTTTCTAACCTTTTAATTGCTATAATTGCCTAATTAGAAAACACTTTGGGTTTTAATAGCATCTTAAAGTAGACCGTGAGTATGATTTCTGCTTTGGAAAAAAAGATCTGTCAGAGTATGATTTATTGAGGTTGCTGTTCTTTTACTAAGAGCCTGAGGAAGGATAGTGGGCTTATTGAGCCATCTGCCTAAATAAGAGCAATTTTTGACTCATGAAATCTCAGATTTTGTCTAGGCAAGTGTTTTCAGTTCCAAAGGTAGGATCTGTTTGGGGTGTGTCGGGGAGAGTCGGGGGAAGAAGGTTCAGCAACTTTAATGAGGCCCTAAGCAGCTTAGCAAGACCCTACATAAAATGTTTAAAAAGCGTGCTGTTAGGGGGCAGCTGGGGATGTGGCTCAGTGGTTAAGCATGCCTAGGTTCAATCTTTTGGTTTAAAAAAAAAAAGAAGCCCAAGCCGGCCATAAGTGCACAGTTGCTGCAGTAGACCCTCGGGAGTCAGTGAAGCAACACATTTTCCCCTCCAGTTCAGCATATATTATTCTAGGGTATTTAGGTACCATATCAGAAAGGTGGAGTTAGTTATTGACTAGAAAATTAATGTAGTATTTGTAGATCATTTTTACCTTATTTCCTAGAAATACAATATTCAAATATTGAAATTATGAGTATTCATTTATTTTCTCTAAATGAATATTTCTCTATTCATTTTGTAAGTAACTTTACAGAGATCTCTGTGATGGTATGGTACTTGAGAAAGATATATACAGGTTTTGTTGTTATTGTTGGTGTATACATTTCTTGCCCTCTTTAATATTGAGACAACTTGAAGCCAGTTCAGGACTTACCTAGAGTAGGTTGTTCATTAATGTGCTTAAACTTCTCTACCTTACTCTCTATATGAGTGCAGAGCATTTGAATGGGCCTCCCTAAATATGTACCCTTAGGATGATACAGTTGTTTTCTCTTGTTCCTGGCACAGGCACCAGAGCAATGGAGCTGTCATTGCCCACTGTGGACAGCCAGAGGTCAACTGGTGGGATTGGCAAAATGCAGATGATGAGCACCTCGTGCAGTCAGTAGCCAAAGCTTGTGCTTCTGATATCTGATCCAGTGGTGGCAGCAAGCCTTCAACTAGGAATAGTTCCCAAGACTTTCCCAATGGGGGAGACCTTTCCCATGTGGCATTTGGTAAGGTGCTACCTGCACCCACAGCAGCAGTTTTATAGTATATGAGAAACTTTTCTTGAAGTGGCCTTTTCTTTTTTTCTTTTTCTTTCTTTCTATTTTTTTAGTTGTAGATGGACACAATATTTGTATTTTATTTATTTTTATGTGGTGCTGAGGCTCAAACACAGTGCCTCATATGTACAAGGCAAGTGCTCTGCCACTGTGCTACAATGCCAGCCCGAAGTGGCCTTTTCTTTAGAAGAGCTTTCTGGAAGAGAATTTGATGGGATTATTTGAGGAGTCTTGAGTCTTGGCCAAGAACCAGAAGACTCTTTGTTTCAAGCCTGGCTGTCATGACAAGAATGGAGTATGAGTGTGATGGGGACTTGTAGTGTATCAATACTCCTGTAGGGAGGTACCAAGTTTTGGACTATAGGTGTAGAAATGAGATATAGGAGGTTGGGCTATGTGGATCTCCATGTTTACCTCAGAAGTTGGTTTTGGAAAATGAATTGTTAACTTTTAATAAGAAGGGAAAATAGAAAATAAACTAAGAAGAGTAGTTCATCTATCTAGGTCTGGTTAGGAGGTTTCATTTGAGTTTTTTTGGTACTACAACATGTGTCTCTGGTTCTAATTTTCACAGTTCTCAGAGACATAGGTTTATTTAGTTTTTACCCTTCCCCCCTTCCTGATGTCGGTAGATTCTTCTCTATCAAATGCTTCAGGAGCAGAGAGTTTAGCCATCCAACTGCAGAAGCTTTTGATCTTGGATGCTCGCTCCTATGCAGGAGCTGTGGCAAACCGAGCCAAAGGAGGAGGCTGCAAATGCCCAGGTAAGGTGGATGGTGCATGGTCCTCAAATACTATCTCCTTATGAGTCCAGCCCATGCCCAACCTGGACTTAGTACTCAATTTGAAATAAGTGACAAGCAATATTTCTCCCCTTCTTTCTTGAGAGAGCCAGAGTTTCTCTTTATATTCTTAAAATTGTTTGTTCTTTTCTAAGCAGATATGGAGGAGGAGGTGCAGTGAAGCCAAATAATCTACCTTTCCTGCCAACCTTTAGGTGATAAAGAAAGCAAATCTTCCATAAGACTTGTTTACATTTGGATGCTGCTTTAGTGGCTCTATTTCTCAGTCTTCTAAAAGCTTTTTGTTGCCTTTGACAGTGGGTATGCTCCTTACTGGCCTCCTGGCAAACTCCATGTGGGGATTTTTTCCTTAGAAAACCTGGGGTAAAAATTGTCCCGACTTGTAACACCTTTGCTGTTTGAATGGTGGCTTTCTGTGAGGAGAGAGACTCCTTGGTACCAGTTGTGGCTGATGGTGCAGGAAGAGGTACCAAGCTCCTTATTTAGGTGTGACCTGAGCTGGAAATTGGAAGCAGTTGTACCAAGGTAAAATTTAAATGCATGAAGGCACTGTTCTGCCAGATTCTTTTCAGAGAGATTGCAGAGCCACAAATAGATGAGGCCCAGGAAGTAAAGATGAGATGGAAGTTTATAGGTCTTTCTTTTAAAACATAATAGCTTTTATTTTGTTAGTACCTTCTTTACAGCTCTAACCTTCCTTTTTCACCTCTTTTATAAAGACAGCTAAAATGCAAGTGCTGTTTGCCTCTTTGAATAAAGCACTGGATTAATAGTCAAGCATCACAGCATTGCAGTTTCATTAGTCAGCAGCTGCAATGGATTTGTTTTATAGCCAGTTTGCATCTTTTAAATTTGGTCATGCAGGCTTTAAATTCAACGTATTTGTGTTCTCTTTATTGTTATTCTTTCCAGATTATTACCCGAACTGTGAAGTTGTGTTTATGGGGATGGCAAACATTCATTCTATCCGGAGGAGTTTTCAGTCTTTGAGGTTGCTGTGCACACAGACGCCAGATCCTGGAAAGTAAGACTTTAGTTTTATATTGCTCTTTTTTGTTGTTAATTAAATTTGGAGGTATCCTCTCCTGATTCATGGTACACTTAAGTTACATTTTTAGCCTTTTTACATATTCTTTCTGTATCAGGAGCAAGGCAGCATAGAGCAGAGATGGAAGAAAAACCAGTCCTTTGAAACATTTTTAAATGTGCAGCACAGGAAAAAAAATCTCAGTCCTTTTTAGATCGGAAGCATCGCCTTGTTTGTGCTGGGACTCCCACCCTTTCTCTTTCATGTTGTTTTTGTCCTAAAGCATTTTTATTCTTTGTTTTCTGAAATCCTATAGTGACACTTATTTGCTATGAACTGGGTTGTTTTGCCACAAAAAGTCAGTTTACTGTTCATGTTCTAAAATGGGTTAAACTTGTCATTAGGTCAGTTTCTTTTATTCTTGCTTCTGATTTCTAAACTACTCTTTTATTTACTGAGAACATTATCATGATTTTTATTGCTCATTAAAAATGAATGGTTGGCATTTGTAAGAAGGAAGGTGAAGTAATACCCTCTGCAAGGGTACTATTTGAATACAAGATAAATTAGGAGCAGGGCTCTGTAAAACAAATATGGACAATAAATATTTAAAAGCCCCTGTTCTACTATTTCAGGAAGCTAGAGTTGGTGCCAGAGAAGACAGAATTCATTTTTTCTAGAGTTTGTGCTAAAACCCATGGTCATTTCCCTGGGTCCTATTCAGTAGATCTCATGATCACATTGAGTTTTGCTGCATTCTTTATTGGATTTATTAAATCAAGTACTGCCTAAACCACTTGTATTGACTTTTAGTAGCAAAGGATTAAATTCATTACAGTTCCATTCAGCCCTTAGGTTAAAGCAAGTGTCCTTTGTGGGCAGTCTGAAGAAAAGAGATTCCTGCTTTCCTTTGGGATTTGCTATTTGCAATTCCTACACAATTCCAGGACCCATCTGGCAGCACCCTTTCCTCTAAGATGAGGCATAGAAGGTGCCTGGCTGAGAACCCAGGAGACCTGTCGCAAACTGAGTTTGTGACCTTGGCAAAGTGACTTTACTACTGTAGGTCTTAGTTTTTTGTCTATAAAACAAAGATTGCCAATTATGTGATCTCTCATATCGTCCATATTGAAATTTCGAAAATAGCTTTTTTTGGGGGAGGAGGTGGGTACTGGAAATTGAATCCCAGGGCACTTAACCACTGAGCCATATCCCTAGACCTTTTTATTTTTTGAGACAGAGTCTTACTAATTTGCTGAGCTGGCTTTGAACTTGCCATCCTCCTGCCTCAGTCTTCCAAGCCACTGGGCTAGAAAAGCTAGTTTTTGAACTCAGATTATTAGCTCTTACTTCCTCCAAATTAATATCTAGGGAATTTAATTAAAGAAGCAGCAAATCATAATGCACTACTGAAGCCTCTTGTGGGGGAAAAAAGCTGCTTTGGTAGTGATGGCATGGCTCTAAGTTCATCCCCAATGGTGGTTTGGGGTTGTGGAGGAATAGGGGATGCTTCTGCTCCAGTTTGAGAGTAGCAGAGGGGAGTGTGCTGTATTCCAGAACCTCCTCTGCTGGCATACTTCAGAGTGCAGCTTTTCTCTTAGACTGGGGTAGCACCAACTGGTATTTTATAACGGTTCAGTCATGTTCAAAAGAAACCTACACTTATTCTTGTGTTTACCATTTCTCCAGAGGTAAGAAGATAATTTCATTTTTGGTCTCTTAAGCCTATAGTTTGGTTTCCTTCACAGCCATGTGAACAATGAGAATAAACAATTGGTACATCAGGAAAAAATGTTTCCTAGTATCTACTAGGAGATAGAAAGTCTTGATATTGTGTTTTTACTGATGACAGACTTACAGCTCATTAAAAAGTAGGTTTCCTCTCTGAATACTAGGCACTCAGTACATCTGTGATGGAAACAGTGTCAGCTCTCCAAAGAGTCACAGTCCAGGTGGTAGACGGTACTAATCTATATGAAATCAGTACATATGCATTTAATTCTGTAGTCTGCTTGTCTGGCTGGGAAGATCCCCCACTCCTTAGACTCTTCCAAAATTCATTCATTCCCTGAGATTTAGTAGACCTTTATGGCTTTGTCCTGTAGTCCTAGTATTGGCAGTTACTCCTAAAATAGATGTACCACCACTTCATCTGTATTTATTCCTTCCTCTCTGGCTCATTGTTTGAAGACCTGGACTTGTCTTAACCACAAATTTTGCATTTTAGAAAAATCTGAACTCATTTTTGGGAATTAGGGGCAGGGAGAAGCACAAGAAACATATGTAAACACAGATTAAAACAAATCAAAACAAAAAATAAAAACTCAAATGTGTCAGTTGGTGATTACTCCCAAGAGGCAGTTCTTGCTATCTGATATTCTTGAGTGCTTCTTTAAAAAAATTCTTCTAGATCCCTTTTCAATCTGGTCTGGGTAAAGCCTAGCAATTCCATGTGGCCATTGGTAGACTAGTTTCATAAGTCTAAATCATCCTATTAGGCTCATCCAGATTTAAAATATATATATTTTAGATGGGCACAATACCTTTATTTTTTATGTGATGCTGAGGATCAAACTGAGTGCCTCATATGTATGAGGCAAATGCTTCACTACTGAGTTACAACCCCAGCCCCATTGAGATTTTTTTGAAAATTTGTTTTTAGTTATAGATGGGCACAATACCTTTGTTTAGCTTAGTTATTTATATGTGGTGCTGAGGATTGAACCCAGTGCCTCACACATGTTAAGCAAACACTCTACCACTGAGCTATAACCCAGCTCCCCATGTGTGGTGTCCAGTGTTCAGCTTATATCTCATTATAGACTATTTATATTTTTAAGTTTACTTTTTTTGAGAACTTATTGGGAAGGATTGTTTATTCTTAAATGTCTTCTGTTTTACATCTTAGAAATATCTGTCAGAAGGTTCCACTTTTCTTATACTGTGTGTATCTACTATGGACTGAAAACCATTAATTTTTAAATTTTCTCTGGGAAATTACTCATCAGCATGTTAGAACCAAAGGTGTTAGAACCAAAGGTGGTCTTATTAAATACAGTCCCTATTTCTGAGGATGCCCTCTATTACAGAGTAAGGCCTGAGTCTTGTTTTGGGACATGTTTTATAAACAGATTTTCTGTCTGTTTTGGCAGTGTCACATTTGAAGAGAAAAATCTTGGGGTATTGCTTTTTATTTGACAGGCATTGGATATGATCAATACATCATAAAAAATTGCCTCATCCCTTCCTATTTTTATAGTTGGCTTTCAGCTCTTGAAAGCACAAAGTGGCTTCGTCACCTATCTGTGCTTTTGAAGTCAGCCCTTCTGGGGTGGTGCATGCTGTGGATCGTGACCAGCGACCTGTACTAGTGCACTGTTCAGATGGCTGGAACCGCACTCCTCAGATTGTGGCACTGGCTAAGCTCTTGCTGGACCCTTATTACGGAACCATAGAGGTGAGTGTGTCCAAAGTGTGGGAGTTGGTACTGTATAACAAGTGTGGGAGGTCTCCGAGAGTCTTATGATCATTTTTTTTTGGGGGGGGAGGGTAGCGATTAGGTCTAAAGAAAGCCAAATTTGTTTTTAATTATTCCTCCTGCACCTTGAGCTACATTGTTAGAGGTGCCTGCTGCAGTTCTTATGCCTATTAAAGTGTGACAGATTGTAGGTTACAAGGTATTGAGAAATATATATCTTTTCTTTTATAGCCTGTCTACATGGGAAAGTTCTGGCTAACCCAGGAAAATGAGGCTTTTTTTAAAAAAGATTTTGGTTTGCTTATGATAATAGGTCTAGATATTACCAAAAGAGTGTTCTGTCAAGAAGGAGTCTGACCCTAAAATAACCTCCTTTTGGGTTAAAGAAGTAAGAAAAACCACAAAGTATGCTTAAACATACACACACACACACACACAGACACACACACACAGACACACAGACACACACACACACACACACATATATATATATATATATAACATTTGTAAAAATCTAGGGTGGGGAAGGATTTTACAAAAATGCCTTTGTAAATTTAGCACCAAATGTGCAAAATTCAAAATAAAAGGAAAATTAAGGGGGAATATATGGTTTTTATAAAACATTAAGTATTAATTTTCTCTGGGAAATTGTCCCTCAAATGCCAGGCACAATGGTGCACACCTGTAATATCAGCAGCTTGAGAGGCTAAGGCAGGAGGATCATGAGTTCAAAGCCAGCCTCAGCTCAATCCCTGGTACTCATTATGCACACATACACACACACACACACACACACACACACACACACACACCCCTCAAGATGTTAGTCTGGAGGCTAAAAGTATGTACAAATTCAAGAAAGGGGCTTAGTTAACTAAGATGCATTGTTAGGGCCCTTTCAGTGAGTGTGGAATGGAGTTCAGATAATTGAGAAAGTTCCTTAGACTTGTGTACCAATAGAAGGAGCTGGCTATGGACCTAGGCTAGAGGAACCTACTGGGAAGCTGTTAAAGGGGGTTGCTGGTGGTGACACCAGGCTCAGGACTGCTACACTGTGGATAGCCCAGCACAAATTGTCTTTCCTGGGTGCCTCCCTGCAGGGTTTCCAGGTCCTTGTGGAGATGGAGTGGCTAGATTTTGGCCATAAGTTTGCTGATCGGTGCAGTCATGGGGAGAACTCAAATGATCTGAAGGAGTGTTGCTCAGTGTTTTCACAATGGCTTGACTGCGTTCATCAGCTTTAGAGGCAATTTCCTTGCTCTTTTGAGTTCAATGAAGCATTCCTTGTGAGTTTGGGCTCCTGATTCTACATTTTGGGAACCATCAAAATTGGAGGTGATACTTATGCAAATATTAGTGGTCCAATTTTCACATGAAAGTATGTAGCCTTTTTATAATTTAAGTAGAGGGGTCATTATTTTCTCCTATTTTTACTTGAAAACAATAATAAATAGGCATTTGTTTACTTAGTGAATCCAGATGTACCATTTTTTCTTGTAAACCTTGAGTTGTTTTAAACTTAGCTTTTTAAAAGAGATGATAGAATCCCTAAAAAGTAATTAGAAATAGAAGCAATTAGTGTGTCCCATATTGCCTCCAATCCATCTACCAAAGCCCCTACTGTCTCCAAAGTTCTCTTCTCCCTTCTCCTTTGATAAAAGATGCACTATCCTTGTTCTTTTTAGCCCGTCTGTTCTGCTATACACAGTTCCCATCTCCTCCCATCTGTCCTGCTGGCTAGCTCCAGCATTTCTACTCTTTCCTTCTGCAATGCCATATTTCCCTACCTTTCCCAGATCACAGCTGTAAACATACAGACAAAGTATAATGTGTGTGTGTGTGTGTGTGTGTGTGTATATATATATATATATATATATATATATTGTCTTATCAAAACCCTTTCTTGGTCCTGCATTCTGTTCCAGCTATTATCCTGTATCTGTGGTCTCTTTTACTGCAGAGCTCCTATATTAGCTATCTCAAATTTCTTCTGTTCTTTTCAGCCCACTCCAGGAAGGCATGAACCATAACACTTTGCCAAAGCTACTCTTGTTAAGGTTACCAATGATCTTTCATGTTGCTGACCCAGTGATCAGTGCTTAGTCTTTATCTCTTTGATCCATCAATTTTAATGGCACAGTTCAGTTTCTTTTTTGAAATACTTTCTTCAAGTTGACCTCTTACACTTACCACTCTTATTCTCCTCTTCCTCTCTGACTGGTCATTTCTGTCTGCTTTGCTGATTCCTCTTCGTCTCCCTAGTTCTGAATCTTGGAATGCCCCAGGGTTCATCCTCCAGGCTACTTTTCCATGTAACTACTTGAAGGATCTCACCCAGTCTAGTGGCTTTAATTGTTCTCCATGTGATGAGAATCCATTCAGCTTAGACTTCTACACTTAACTTCAGCCACAATCATGAACACTCGATATCTCTATTTGGATGTCTTAATGGCATTTCAAACTTAATTCATTTAAAACTTGATTCTTGATTTCTACATCTCCCCACAAACTTAATCTTGTAAGAGTCTTCCATTTCACCATATGGCAACTTCATCCTTCCAGTCATTTAGGGCAAAACATTTATGCCATCTTCAACTCTTTCTTCTTATTTCACATTCAGTATATTAGAGTCTGCAGTTCTGCTTTCAAAATGTGTCTAAAACCTATTATTTATTGTCACCTCTACTATGTCACACTGGTCCAGGCCACCATTATCTCCTACTCTCATTTCATATAGAGTCAAGCTAGTCCTTCTAAAACATTAGACAGACCATGTCATCCCTTGCTCAGAAACCTCCAGTAACTATATTTCATACAATAAAAGCCAAAGTCCTTAAAATGGCTTAAAAGGCCATCTTAGAGGTTACCTCTCTAGGCTTGTTTCCTCCTATCCCTCCCTCCCTTCCACTGGCCTCTTAACTATTTCTCAGACTGTAAATGTACTCCCCTCAGCCATTGTGCTTGTGGTTGCCTCTGCCTAGAGCATTTTCCATCAGACACCCACATGACCTCCTCTCTTCCTTCTATCAGGTCTCAACCAGTGAGGCCTTCCCACAGCCTAGACCCCTCTCACCCTGTCCTATTGTTCTTCATAGTATTTGTCACCTCTGCCCTAGCGAGAATAAGCTACATCAGGGGAGGAAAGCTGGTTGATAATTGCTGCATATCCATCACCTCTGGTACCTGTAGTCATGCCTGGGGTAAGTGAAATGTTCAGTAATGATTTGTGGAATAAACAAATAGTTTACAAATGTGCTTTCAGCTTTGACACAGTTTTACACTGATCTGCTCTTGCACCCAGCTTCTGTGCTCTGTTGCTCTTGAGGATGGCTGTTAACTCAGAAGCTCAGAGACTGTTGAACAGGGAATCTAAGAGGAATGGGGGTGTACCAGTTTATCTTTAACTCAAGAATGCTGGTGGATAGAGTCAGGCCCTGGAGTAGGTGGCATGAAGAGGAGGCTATTGTGTAACCAACCGGGCTTCCCTATCTTGACAGCGTAAACTGACGTGCTTTCAGACATGTCAGGGTAGATGGCTCTGCTGGGCTTCCATGTGTGCCCTACTGCATGATTTTGCCTCATTGGACTCCCATAGGTGAAACTGGTGCAGCATACCTATTCCTGCCTCTTTGGAACATTCCTGTGCAACAATGCCAAGGAGAGAGGGGAAAAGCATACTCAGGAACGAACATGTTCTGTATGGTCGCTTCTTCGGGCTGGCAACAAGGCTTTCAAAAACCTACTGTATTCCTCTCAGTCAGAAGCCGTATGTATCCTTCAGTCTTTCCTCTGTCATCAGCAGAATGAGTTTGGGGTGGGGGACATATGGGAGCCTGTTTGAATAGTGCTTGTTTTTGTGAAGGCATCTCTATCTATGGATGAACTGTTTCCATTTTCCCTCACTATTCTCAGAAAGAACTGTTTTCTGATGATGCTCTGACCTGCTTCTGACCACTTTGCTTAGGGTGTTTTAATATACATTTCTACTTTGCCACCCTAGACACCAATCTTTTCTGGCACTTCCTCCAGAGCTTAATTTATTCGTAGCATGTTTTGTTTAACTGGTGGAAGAGCACTTAAGTTGTTTTGTGGGTGCTTCTCATATCTCAGAAGGAGCTGTTCCTAGGCCCCTGGCACCTCCTCATGTACCAGGTGATGATATCCTCTGAAGCTTCTGTCTCAGCACAAAACTGGGTCTGATACTGATTATGTGTATGTGATTCTCTGCTCATATGAGAGCTAGCAGGCCCTTTAAGACTTTGTTCCTCAAAGGAATACCTTCTGTTCAGCAGAGAAAAAGGGGCACATACATTTGCGTGTCAGTAGATGGTAAAATTCCTTTGTTCAGAATGCATCTTAAACCCATAAGAAACCAAAGCAGGTTAATCAGAAGTTATATTGCTTAACTGGACTATTCCTATGCTTCTCATTACATTTAAATAATCAGATCAAAGATTTAAGCCAACTGCTTCTCTCCCTCCTTCACCCTGCCTCCTGGAGGAGTAACAGTGCAAGAAGAAAATACCCTCCTTTTCACATGATTAATTTAAATGATCCTGTAAAGCAGGTTTCACAGTTTCTGCTGAAGCCAGGCTTTAATACAGGAAACAAATAATCACTGTAACAGAATGACTCACTTTCTTATGTAGCAAATCAAGCTGATGAAAGTAAGTCATTCAATAAAGATGACCTGAGAAATACTTAATGAAAAAATGGACCTTTAAAAGATCCTTTCAGACTTTCATGCCCATAAGAGGTGCTTAGGTGAAAAATGTTGCCAAACAGAATCTCTAGTCCTATATTGGCCTTTTTGGGAGATAGCTCTCTATCCACTGATGCTGCTTCCCCAGGGATCAGTGTCCTAGCACTGTGGGGTGTTAGAGCTGGGTGTATATTCTTGATCTTTCCAGATATTTCTAAAATGCTTATTGGGACATATGTAAATCTGTATCCTCTCCCCCTCTTCAGGTACTGTACCCTGTATGCCATGTGCGTAACCTGATGCTGTGGAGTGCAGTATATCTGCCCTGCCCGTCTCCTTCTACCCCTGTGGATGACAGCTGTGCACCATATCCAGTCCCAGGCACCAGCCCTGATGATCCTCCCCTGAGCCGGTGAGCTCAGGGGTGATGCCACAGGCCTCAGGTCCTGTGTGGGTATATTCCTGTATGGAAACATGCCAGGGATGGTTAAAGATCATGATATTGTCTGGCTCCACAACATGTTCTTAGGTCTCTAAAGTTTTCTCTGGGAAGATAATAAAGAGCCTAGTTTCCAGAAGTGAGTTGGGCCCTGTTCTACGACATGCACCAAGCAGTTTCTCAGTGATAGAGTACATCCTCTGTGCTCTTTGTGAACCCTGGTTTGTATTTCATCCACTACTCTCTGCTCCTGCCTCCCTGTTCTGATTTGTCTTCTGAGTTTGGAAGCAAATGCTGTGAGATGATAGAAATGTTGGCTTTGCTACTTATGAATTAGCTTTATTAAATTCAGAGTGATTGGGTAATAAATTAAAATACTGTAATATCAAAGAATCAGCAGTCTGCCCTTGCCACCAGTTGAGGAACCACAACAGCATCAGGGAGAATGCCTTTTGAAAATAACATTTGCTGTTAACTTATTTGTATGGATGGGGCATAGGGTAGAGGCAGTGAAGATAGGAGGACTTATGAGGGAGCTTTGCACTCCAGAACATTATTTGAGATGTCATAGCTCCAGCTTGTTAAAACCTGTTGTCTCCTGATCTCCTCTGAATAGCCTCCAAGATTCTCACTTTTCCCAAATTTCTTTCTTTTAGCCTACCAAAGACTAGATCATTTGACAATCTGACCATAGCCTGCGACAGTACAGTACCTCTGGCCAGCCGGCGAAGCAGTGACCCCAGCTTGAATGAGAAGTGGCAGGAGCACCGGCGGTCTCTGGAACTGAGCAACCTTGCTGGTCCTGGAGAGGAGCCTTCCGCTGACAGCCTAGGAAAGCCCAGCCGGGTGCCCGGGGGTGCTGAGCTGTCCGTGGCAGCTGGGGTGGCTGAGGGGCAGATGGAGAACATTTTGCAAGAGGCCACCAAAGAAGAGAGTGGGGCTGAAGAGCCTGCACACAGGGGTAGTGTGGAGATGCCACAGATCAAAGAGGAGAACAGGATCGCAACTGAGGGCTCAGCCATTGTACTTTACCAAGAAGCAGAGTTGGGGGTTGCTATTCTGAGGAGCCATCCAGACTCCAGCCTGTCTATATTCTCACAGGGTATTCCTGAAGAGCAGGCTGGGCCCAGTGTTCTCTCCAGTTCACTCCAGGAACCCTACAGGGGAGAGGATTCTCGGGAGGTTCCTTTGGAGCAGCCTCCAATAGAGGATATTGCAGAGAACCAGGAGGATGCAGCTCCTTCCATCCCAGTAGATGTAAAAGTTGGTTATAGTACCTCACTGTCTAGTTCTCTGCCACCTTCCCAAGTCCCTTTTGAGGACCAAACATGGACCAAACATGGACAGTTCCATGGATATGTTGATAGAAGATAATGTGAAGTCAGAAAGTGGACCCCAAGTCCATCGTAAGCCTTGCCTTGTTATCACTGGCAGGTTCAGTGGCAAAGACGTGCTTCCCCCAGCACTGGAGCCCAAGCCTGCTGAGAGGAACCTCATTGAGAAGCCACAAGGGGGGTTTGTGGTACACAGGACTTCTCCTGGCAGCACTCTTAACCCAACATGGGCCCCTTGTGCCTTGCCTTTAGCCGAATGTAAAGAGGGGTTTGTGTGTAACGGTGCCCCAGAGACTGAAAACAAGGCCTCAGAGCAGCCCCCAGCACTTGGCACCCTCCAGAAGTACTCCACACCCAATGGGCACTGTGCCAATGCGGAGGCTGGGAGGAGCAAGGACTCGCTGAGCTGCCAGCTGTCTGCCACAAGCTGCAGCTCTGTCCATTTACACTTGAGAAACTTGCACCACAAGTGGCTGCATAGCCACGCGGGAAGGCCATCTGCAGTCAGCAGCCCTGAGCACCCTTCCCGCAGCCACCTGGATGATGATAGCATGCCTGTGTACACAGACACAATCCAACAGCGCTTGGGTCAGATCGAGTCAGGACACCAGCAGGAAGTGGAGACCTTGAAGAAACAAGTCCAGGAGCTGAAGAGTCGCCTGGAGAGCCAATACCTGACTGGATCACTGAGTTTCAATGGGGATTTTGAGGATGATGTGGTGAGTGGGTCATGGTTCCTCTGTAGCTGTCTGAGAGAAGATGGCAGAACGAGGATGGGCACACTTTTTTTACCCAGTGCATGGTGACTGGTGAGGATTTCTAAATGAATTGAAAAGGTTTAAAGTAGCCCTGTTCATGGAGGCTGAAGATCAGCCTCAGCCTTGTAAATGGAAGACTGTCTCTTTTCTTCTTTGCTTACTTTCATGTCTTGTTTGGGCAGTTAGAGAAAGGAAAGAGCATGCACTACATGGACCTTCAGATCTCTTCAGAGAGAGGATTCTCTGTTTTCAGAATGACAATTGAAGAGTAATGCCAAATATTTTGTGAAATTGTAGTGCTTGTCCTACATTAAAAACTAGTAAATTGATAGCCTTCCCAGATGTGGGCTGTAATTTTGAAGGTTAGATTTTTTTTTCAAACAAATGTTTGTATCCACTTTTTGATAGATGCTGGCAGTAAATATGGAGAGAAGGGATTGGTTTCTAACTGATGAAGCTTGCCAATCAGAAAAGAGAGTAACAGAGTAGGGTTTTCAAAGAGGGGCTCTCTTCTTTGGTGGGTCTTGTCAAGTGCAATTGTGAACTGGGCTCTGAAGCAGTCATTGTACATTAAAGGCGGGCACATCCAATGACTTTCAATCCAAAGTAACTTTTTGGCCTTTACTTCATACTAATGATGGTTTCTCATTGTTGCAAAGAATCCTTCAGAGAAAGGAGGCCATGCCCAAAGCACTATTTTTACAAAGTGGAGTGGTTGGATCAGCAGGTCCACCAGGGCAGCTTACACTGGGAGTTCAGTTCCCACTCCATCCTGGTCACTTCTCTCCCACATACTTCCTGGAACCCTAAGGTTCATGTTTTGACTCCAGTGTCAGTGCACACAACCTGGGTATCTCCTTTCAACTGAGCCCAGCATCATCTCTGCACCTGTTTAACCCAAGGCCCAATGGTTGATGCATCTCAGATTTGGTAGCCCTAGTACTTAGGCCTGCACCTAGTCCTCAGTGCTCCCTTCTTCACCAAGCCCTTTCTTCTTCTTTTTGGAGGAGACTGGGTTCATTCTGTTCAGCTGTGTTTGTTTGTCAACAGACTTCAATCCCTGACTTGGAAAGCAATCTGGATCAGAACTGTTTGTCTCACTGCAGCCCAGAGATTTTCTCTGAAGCCAGCTGGGAGCAGGTGGATAAACAGGACATAGAGGTACAGGCTCAGCCCCTGCTCTCAGTGCCATCCATGCAACTATTTGGTGGTTTTTCTTCAGCCCCATCCCTGCCCCATGCCCCTTACCAAGGAAGAACCTCGTAGCACAGTTAGTCCTGAGCTTCTGGTATTTCAGCTCCTGTGAACCCACATCAGGCCCATCATTTCTGAGCCAGAGAGACTCAGCAGGTTGGCCCTCTGTCTACGTTGCCTCTGTGAACTGGACCCTTGCCAGCCCTCACAGCAACCTAAGGTGATGCTGCCACTTTATCTCAGGGGAGATTGGAGTCCCCTCCAGGGAAACGATTTGGACGCCTTTCTTGTACTTTTGGCATCAGACCTGCTGGGCTGGTGCTTCCAGAGCCAATATGGTCCTTGTGACTCTTGCTGCCCCCAGCATGGCTCTGTTGGCTCCAGCTGCCTGGCCCATCCTGTCACACTAACCTGGCCCCATCTGTTTTGCAGATGACCTGTTGGCTCCCTGACTACCTGGCTGCCCACTGTTATGCGTGTGACAGTGCCTTCTGGCTCGCCAGCAGGAAACACCACTGCAGGTGCCTGTAGGGGGTGTGGGCTGGGTGTGGAAACTAAGCTTTGGCCCACAGAGTCTGCAATATGGTGGATGGCAGTCTGCAATATGGCTGGTCGGCAGTATGCTGTCTGGGCAGACTCTGGCAGTGTGCTTTCTGGGCAGACTTCTGTACCTATGAATTTGGTGCTGAAGAACTACATTTGATATCTTTCTTCCAGTTGAGAGTGATCACTTCTATATTTTGAAATGTTTAAATGATAGCCTCTCCCCACCCCATGCCCCAGATTGGTGAGGCAATAGCTACCACTCAAATCAATTTCTTATTCCCATCATAAAATTCAACATTACTACTATGAGCAAAAATAGTTTTCTGTCTGTGGGCAGGGTACTTCATTTTCCTACTCCTTCCCTGCTCCTTGTCCCTGAACTTCATGTCCCTGTGCCACTGATGAACAGCTGTAGCTGAGCAGAGTAGTAGAGAGCCAAAGATGGTCTTCAATTCATATGGCTCCCAACTTATTTTCTCTTTCTTGGTTTGGGTAGTGAATTACTAGGGATGCTTTGGCCTCACTGGGGTAGTGACTGGCAGATGTTCAGTGTTCTTGGGATAGAATGTTTATCAGAATTGGACCATTGCTCACCACATGAGTGAACCTGGTTTGAAAGTGGGACAGCATCTTTATCTGTTAATGATGCTTATAGGACCACATGTCTTCCCACCTTACACCCGAAGCCCAAATATCTTTGGTTGGCTTCTCCTCTGAGCTCTTTCTCCCCTCCTTGCAGGGACACTGACCGTGTTGATCAAACGTGGTGAGCATTTGCAACAAACTGTCTGTGATGTCTGCACATCTATAATAACTTCTCCACACTAATGCTGTCATCTCCCCTTTCTGCACTCAGTGGGGTAAAGCCTGAGGTTGGGGAGCACCAGCAGGCAGGTGGGCTTGGGGGTGGTCTTCAACAGCTGATGATGGAGACCATTGAGGTTGAGTCCAGCTGCAGCCATGTGCTTTTCTCCTGACCATACAGGTCAGCTGGGCCATCTCATCTGTAACAAGAAACAGTGCTTCTTCGGGGTCTAATTTTATGGAGGAGCCAGTTGGGTTTTCAGAACTATTTCTTTTGGGTCAGTCATTCATTGAAATGATGCTGTACCTTCCAAGTATCAGTGTGCCTTTTTGTTTTGTTTTTAAAGAGACAGAACTGAACAAGTGATCTTCACAGAGAATGTTTTAACATGGAAGACTTTAAGGGCAGACTCCACTTAGGTCTTTTGGAGTCCCCTGAAAGAAGTAAGGGAAGCTTAATTGATCAAATTTGTATCAGATTTTTGAGCTGAACTCCAGCAGGAGTATTAAAAAAAAAAAGCATAGGCATTCAGAAAATTTTCTGTGTAACCACAGGTTCTCCATGTGTTCATTTTAGTTTTCTGTGGCTCTGTGGTCCACCTTTTTCTCTGTAAAGTTCTTTTGTCCCCAAGTAGTCTTAAATATTCTCTCCTGTGCCTGAGTGGCCTTAATCCAATAATATGTTTGCATACTGAGGGGTTTGACTGAAAAGGGCAGAAAGAGATGCTGGCTGAGAAGGAGGCTTTCCCTTGAGCTGCTTTCCCCTAGCCATTGGTGGGCTGTGTCATGACCCTTGGAGTTTGCTGTGCTGAGCTCATTGTGATTAGTTTATACTTTAAAGTCCAACAAAATTAGAGTTATAAGGTAAGCAGAAACTGATCCTCTGTCAGTTCTCTTTCCTGTTAGCTATGATGGGCATTTATCTGGACCACACAGATGCATCAGAGCTGAGCTTTCAGTGGAAGAGGGTGGAGACCTTGGGCCTGTGTTGTAGTCAAGCCTTCTGGCAGATCTCTTTGAGTTTCCCTGGAGATAGATGCATAGGGCAGGGCAGTGAGCCATACTGACTGACAGATGTCTAATAAGGGTATGTGTGTGCATGTATGCTCATTTGTGCTCTTGTCTTTATACCTCTCCTCTCTTTCACTTTCTGAGCATGAATTGTGGGCTGCTTGACTCCTGGCTTTGCATGCTGCCTACAGAGCCATCCTAAATGGGAGCAGTCTGCCCTATAAGTTGTTGCCTCTAAACCTCTTGGGTAGTGGCCCTTGGATAAGGCTCCTTATCCCCAGTTGGGCTGGGTGCTTGTTTCTTTTCTCTGAGGGCCCAAAGACAACTCCATTTGACTCTGATCACTCAGTGATCACAAGCTACACAGAGGCCATTGCCTAGGTAGGTGTGGCCACTGGGTAAGTTTCTGGGTCAGGACTTACCATTTAGCTAGTAACTGCTTCTGCCATGGAAACATTTGTTCTCACAGAGGTCTGTCAGGCAGCATCTTCCTGTACACCTGATAACCTTGAGCCATTGTGGTAAGACAGCCAAGTATCCTTGGCCTTAAAGTGAAAATGACATGTGATTCTACTAGGTAGGGATATCATTCCTGCCTATCTTGTTCCTGGGCCAGAGAAATGAAAGTGTTTGATTTCAAGGGAGTCTCCAGCATATCCTAAAAAATCACACAGAACAAAATTCTGTTGAAGTTTGTTTCTTTACTGCATACTTGCTAATGGAAGCTAACATTGTTTTGTTTCTTCTTATCTCAAGGAACTGTGGGAACGTATTCTGCTCCAGTTGTTGTAACCAGAAGGTCCCGGTTCCTAGTCAGCAGCTCTTTGAACCCAGTCGAGTGTGCAAGTCTTGCTATAGCAGTCTACATCCCACAAGCTCCAGCATTGACCTTGAACTGGATAAGCCCATTGCTGCCACTTCAAACTGAAGCTCAGTGACCTGGGGTGGGCAGAGGTCAAGCTGCTGACCCACTGACAGGGCCACAAAGCCTGAGCAGACCTAGAGTCCCATGCACTTTGGAATGGGGTCATGGAATCACCTGTACAGAGTGACAGAAATTGGGATGTACCATTGGATTGTAGATTGATTCTTTTTTTAAATTTTTTTTCCCTTCTCCCTCTTTCCTTCCTCCTTCCCTTTTTCATCCTCCCTCTGCCCTCAAAAAGGAAAAAAATCCCCTGGTTGTTTTATTATTATTTTTTTAATGGAAGACCAGAGGTTGCCAAGTCTCCTGTAATTGCCGAGCTGCTTACTGTCAGGCACACTGGGAGATAGCTTGGTGCTTCCTTATGGAAGGAGGCTGGTCAGAGCCAAGAGTGGAGGCCTGAGACAGTGAGCAGGAAAGAAGGTTAGCACCAACATTTGTGATCATTCCTCATACCACCACCACCACCACATCAAAGTTGGTTGGGAAACGTTTGTTGCCAGGAAAGCTGGAAGCATCTTTCCCAAGAGAACCTCCCCAGGTGCCTTCTCTCTCTTTGAGAGGGGCTGGGCCATCCCACTTTACAAACAGAAAATGAGGTTTATATTTGGAGGGAGGGACACACACAGCAAATGGATCCCTCAGGCCCCATTTTGGGGAAGGTAGAAGGAGCTAGAGATGGGTGATCAGCATGTTGTTCCCCATGGGATTCTGTTTTTAACTTGACCCAAATTGTCTAGGGCTCCCTTCGTTTTTCAGGGGGCTGCCTCCTGGACAGGCCAGATAGTGCTTCTTTGTGAGTGAGAGTACAGAATGGCCAGAATGTGGTGTCCTGCTTCCATGGCCAAGGCCCACCCTGAGCCCCAGGCACACCTTGGAGCCACGTCCAGGGCCTGGTCCCCCAAACAATCTTTCTTCCTCAGCCAGGACAGGGAAATCCAGACTCAGGGTTCCAAAAATTCCCCATTCCCAAACCAAACAAATCATGGATCTTCCCCTTAAGGGGTAGAATCAGCCTTTATAGTTATGAAGATCCCCACACAATCAGCCTTCGTCCTCCTTCCTTTCTTGGAGCAGCAGGAAAGGCCCAGCAGTCCCCCTGCCCTGCTTCTGGCTGCCTGAGTGGGTACGTGTCTGGCTGCTGGCCAGCAGTAAAGGGCCACTTGGTTACTCTGCAGTGTTCCTTAGAGATGTGACATCACCTGGAAGAGATTTGGGGTACCTTTTCTCAGTGAGCTTTGATGTGGTCCAAAAAGAGCCTTAAATCAAGAGTATTTGTGATGGAGATGGGTGTGGGGAAGGACAGGGAGGAATTTATGTTTGTGCTTTGTGATGTTGGCATCCATGTTTTGTGCCTGTCCTCCCTCTTGGGCCATGCTTGGTTTTGCTGAACGCTGCTAACTGATGGCAGGGTACATCATGTAAGGTGAAAGGGTGAGGTTAGGGAATGCTTAAGTTCCAGCCCTTTCCCTTTGGAAGCAGGTCCCTGGCCAAGGGCAAGCTGTGTCTTAGGAAGGTGGCTCCTATGTGTGCCTGAGTATGGTTACATATGGCCCAGAAACATTTCCTGGTGCTGTCAGTCCAGGCAAAGCCCAGAGTCTGAACTTAGAGAAACAGGGTGTAATTCTTCTCCACACTCCACATGCTCTGATGGTGAAGGTAGGGAGAAGTACGTGTAATTGAAGATTGTGCAGTTCTTAGTGACAGGTGCCAAGAGGTAATGATAACGGGTTTCTTGGGTCTGATGTACAGTGTGAATAAATGCTTGCAGTTCTTAGCTCTTTTTTTGATCAATGAAGCACTTTTTAAATATTTTTCTTTGTATGTAAAGGAGGAACCATAACTCTCCGTAGCTGTACATATAACCCTTTTCTCCTAAAGAGGAGTCAGTCAGTGCTCCTATATTTTTCATTTTTTGTTAAAGCAAGGAGCAAATACTTTAGAATTGTTAAATATATAAATAAAGTGAATAAAGTTGAGTGTTTCACATGGTGGCATTTGCTATATCATGTTTTAATTCTTTGCCCTCTGGTTTATCCCCTCTTGGTCACTTCGTTTCTTGGTCTCTTGGTCTCTTGGTGCTGATGGGAAACTTGACATCTGGCAAAGGAAAATGACAGATTTCTTTTCAACTCTAGACCTTGGCAAGGAGATTGATCATGATGCCCAAGCACTGAAAAACACTTCCTTAATGATTTTGCCCCTAAGCTCTCCCAAGTTAAAAAGGGTCAAAGCCATCAGGCATTTGAACAATTGACTGTTCTTCTGCATTGGAAGAATTGCACATCAGTAATAATTAAAACTACCTCTGACCTCTAGGCTCCTTTATTTTTTTTTTTGGCTGCTCCTCTGATTTCAGGGCAGCCAATTCTCTGGCCCCTGAACCCCCACTCCACCCCACCCAGGGAGTATTATAGCCTGCATGCAGCAGGGAGCAGGCAGAGACATGGTGTGGGGAGTGGGTAGAAGACGTCTTAGCCAGTCTTTCTTGGATGAGATAATACAAGTGGGCAGCAAGAGAACTTGGAGGCAGAAATAGAATTGAATATGACTGGATTATGTGCTTAAATAGAGCATCATCCTCCCTTCCCCCACAGAGAGGAAGCTCCATTACTTAGATTTTTGACTTCTAAGCTGAGAAAGGCCATGATATCTAGTCATTTCTGGACTATTACTTTTTCTAAAAAGAAGTGGATTTTCTTTCCCTATATGGCTGTTTAGCATCCTGTCCATCCTGTGTGTCTGTAGGTGAGATGTATTACCTCTTTGGAAGGTTGGTGTTAAGTGGCACCTGGCTCTCAGGTCCCCAGCCTAAGGTCTGGGGTGAGTCAGGTGGGTTCTGAAGAGTGACCTGTTCAGAGCACCCCAGGGGGCCTTCACTCTTCAGGGCAGGCTTTGTAGGATCTCTTTCTGAATGTCCCTTCTCCCTAAAGTGCATAAGCATTTAAAAACAACTCAGTTGGTTTCAGTTTGAAAGCTGTGGGTGCCTTGTCTGAGAATAAAACTGTCCTCTGCAGATAAAGAGGGTTACACCTTAGCCCCTTGAGTCTGGTTCAGTCAACTAGGGAGCCCAGTCTGCATTCAGATCAAGGTGTGGAAGAACTTGAGAGGTGTTATGGCTAACGTGTGCCTATACACAGTACTGCTGTTCTTGAAGTGTAATGGCTCAATCCTCATCAAATTAAAACACTGGCATAATTTAGCAAGCCCTGTTGGGGGCCTATAAATGGAGAACTGCTGGGGATAAGAAGAGAGGAGCCAGAATACATACCTGCACATTATGACTGCCCTATGGAAGATGGCTGTGCATGAGAAAAGCCATTTTCCATGGGCGAGGCCAGCTGTCTTCAGGCCATTATGTAGAGGAATTAGACCTAAAGTATTTGGCACTAACAGAGATCTTGAGCTGCCAGAATGTCCTTTTCATCTCCGAACTTGAGTATCCTGGTGTTTTCTCAATACACACACGTCACTTTGACTTCCTTAACTCCAAGTCTATTTCCTCCCCTCCACTCCCATGATATGGCTGCCTTAATCCATTGGGATTTCCCAGTGGAGGTGTATAGAACATTTTTTCTCTTATCAATTTTGTGTATCTGTTCACTGTTAACTTTGCATGTTAGCAAAGAGTATTCTAGGAAAAAGGTGTCGTGACAGATCTAAAGGAGAATGAACAAAAACAGTGCAATAGAAATTGTTGAACAATTTCTAGTTTTTGATACTAAAATAGGAATCAAGGGTATATCCTAGAATAAGATTGCAAGGGATTGGTCTTGAAATAACTTAAAAACTTGACTGTACTTGAGGTTAGGAGATCCCATGCCTATGGAAGTTAACTGTATCCCTGACCTCTATCTTTGAAGAATGAGGGCTGATTTGAAGGTGCTATTACAGGGTTTCATCTAACTGGTACCTGTACAAGTGGCCTGTCTCTGGGGCTGCAACTGTACCCTCCAAAATTGCATTAACTGAGAGTAGAGCTAATAGGGTTTAAAATGGGCTCTAGGCTGTGGAGAGAATTGGGAAACATGACAGGAGTCCCAACTGTTTAATTTCTAGTCACATTTCCAAGAAGGTTGTTTTTAAGTTGAGGTTACTGACAAGATCTCTCAAGGGCAGGCCCAGAATGCATGAGAGGCTTCCTGTGGAGTAGGAGGTGACCCTTCTAAGAGTCTGACACTTAAACATGAGTCCTATGATCCTCAGCACATAAACACTCGGAAGCCTTGCTCCTCTGGGCTCGTCTGCTGCATGTTTGTATGCATATGCCAGTTGCCTTGCCTGATCTAACAGACGTCTTGGAGAGGGCCAGGCATGAGGTACAGTATGGGCAGGGGAAGGGGCATCTTTTGAACTGGGAATTAGTCTTTAAATGCTGCTATTGTATTTTATTTACCACTTAAGTTCTTTTCTATTACACCTAATTTCTTAGTCAACTTTTCCTACATTGATCTAGTTGTATTTGAATTGTATATTCAGTGAAGTTTGTTTTATGTTGGTACTTAAAATTGGCCTTTATCTGCTTCCCAACTAGTTTATAAGATTTAAAAGAAAAAGAATGAGAATGTAACCTATGAGGCACAGATGCTGGTGAAGAGATGTACTGGTGTGCTGCTGCTGACAGTAGTGCTTGCCTGTTGTAACAGCATTGATTCTGCTGTAGCCTAATTGACCATTTAAGTTGAATAAATATCCCATTGTTACACACAAACAGTTGTTCAGCCCCTGGATTTCAGTTGCTCTTATGGTTCTCCAGTCAGTGCTGAGACAAGGTCTTGTGTGCAAGGAATGAATCTGCTCAGCCTAGTCCAGGAGAGGGGTTCAGACAGGAGGTGTTGCCATGGGTCAGCATTTATAATCTCAAAGCAGAGTACAGAAATCCTGGACTTTAAGGTAGGAGGGGCCTTACATCACTTGATTCTGTGGTTTTTCTTTTTTCTGTTTTTAAAGAGAGAAAATTTTTTAATATTTATTTTTCAGTTTTTGGTGAACACAACATCTTTATTTTATTTTATGTGGTGCTGAGGATCAAACCTAGCACCCCGCACATGCCAGGCGAGTGTGTTACCGCTTGAGCCACATCTCCAACTCCATTTCTGTGGTTTTTCTTACTATTCTGCAGGACCATGGTAGGTCGGGAGCCCTAGGCCCCTGAAAGGTCTACTA